GACAAAGCCATAATTCATCATATTTATGTGGGAGCATGTTCAGGTAGTGTAGATTCAAGTTTGTTCAAATCATGTCCCTCGGGGGTAGGGCGGGGCCAAAATGGCCGACCAAAGTTTAACATAGTAATATATAGGAAAATTCTTTAAATATCTTCTTCTCAAGATTGACAAAGTTATAATTCATCATATTTATATGGAAGCATGTTCAGATAGTGTAGATTCAAGTTTGTTTAAATCATGACCCCCCGGGGTAGGGTGGGGCCAAAATGGCCAACCAAAGTTTTACATAGAAATATATAGGAAAATTCTTTAAAAATCTTCTTTTCAAGAATTACAAAGTCATAATTCATCATATATATATGGAAGCATGCTCAAGTAGTGAATATTCAAATTTGTTCAAATCATGTCCCCCGGGGGAAGGCGGGGCCAAAATGGCCGACCAAAGTTTAAAATAGAAATATATAGGAAAATTCTTTAACAATATTCTTCTCAAGAATGACAAAGCCATAATTCATCATATTTACAATGTATATGGAAGCATGCTCAAGTAGTGTAGATTCAAATTTGTTCAAATCATTACACCCAGGGATAGGGCAAGGCCACAATGGCCAACCAAAGTGTTACATACAGCGGCTTAAACTTTATTGTTGACAAACCAATCGTGTAGATTAATTTGTTCGTGTATTGGCAAGATCGTGCATGTAATAGATTCAATGGTTTTCGGTTTTAATCGTGCATGATCATGTGTTAAGAAACGTTAAAATTTTATTTTGAAAGTTTTTTCAGAATGTTTTTCTTTAATAAGAATTTCGCTTGTATGTTTTTTTTAATCAAAATAAAATGAATGAAAGGCGACTTTCTTATTAAAAGCAGAACAAACTAATTATACTTAGTACTAGATGTGTCACCATTTTAATACCCCCTGCTTGAAAAGTGGAAGGGTATATAGTAATCGGGATTACATCTGTCTTTCAATCTGTCTGTGCACCTGTCACACTTTATCTCTTATCAGCAACTCCTCCTATACTACTGAGTGAAATTTAGTGAAACTTTCACGGAATCTTTGTTTCATTTTGCCATTGTGCACCTCCTATTTATCGTTTTTATTCGACACGCATTTTGGGTTTCCCATAGCAAAACATGTACTTTGCCATTATATGTTTACCTATGACATCACATATAGAAGCTTCTGGATAACCTTTGATAAGACGAGTTACTCCTCTTCACATATTACCGTAAAACAATATATAGCAACACATTTACATTATGGGATGCTGGTATCACAGTACCTCTAGTTTCTTTGATGTTCATTATATGTACTAGTGATTAATCAAGGTCAAGATATTTTTTAAATGAATACATCAAAAGTGTATTTTTTTTTTACAGATTAAATAAATAAATATTTCCCTTAAAAGCTATCATGCTATAACTTGCGCCAGTTTAAATAAGATTGGAAATATATATATATATATATTTTGTTTATCAATAAATGGTACAAAATTACTGTTAATTACACCATGTAAATTAAATGTGTATAAAGTTAACAAATTATAATTATCTATAACCCTGCTAGGTGAGAATTGCTATTTTTAAATAACTCCATCACATAACGCCGCTGATACTTTTAGATCGATAAACAAACATAGCGTTAAGAAAACCAGGTAGGCTGTTAGAGATACAAGTCACTGTTGACGTGGATGGCAAGCGTCTAACTCTAAATGATACTTATCTTTTAATATGATCTTTATCAACTATCTATTTTGTAAAGACGCATATCGACCTTTTATTAATCAGCGTTGTAAAAATGCAACAAAATTTGTCTGAATTGCAGATATTGCTTTATTGTTTAGTTATTACAATGACTTCTACAGTAAAATATTGTGGAAAGTATTATTACTTTTCATGTGTTTCAAATCATTTTAGCGGTTTGTTGCTTTCAAACAGCCTGTTTTACTTTAAATATGAGAAAAAAATTTTCTTTAGGGCAGTTGTAGTAATCTATGGTATATTATTAATGTTTTTTCAGATGGCAAAGAGAAAGAAAATGTCTACGAGACAGCGAATGCTGCAAGACAAAATAAGAAAAAGAGAGCAGAGACAAAAGTCTGCAAGGATTCTGCCTGATGAAGTATCAGCTTTGCCGCCACAACAGTCTGCTGTTCCCTGTGGGACAGTGGATGGAGCTGATTCAGCTCCTCCCGGTAATTTTCCGGGGCTTGGTTCGATGGGGTTTCCACCTAAAGAGGAAAAACCCCTGGCCAGGGTGCAGGCCTCACCTCGAGTGAAAATGCATTCACCTGCCCCGAGGTTGTCACCTCCTCGGGGAAGTCGTCTGTTTGTCCATGACGAGGGCAAGGCACCGTCCACTGACTCCCCACCGTGGGTTTGTGCTCCACCGAGGGCACCTGGATCGGACATAGTGCATATGTCTGATCCAGCAGGACAGGCGCAGCTGGATACCTCCAGGATGGAGGAGACCAGTAGAATATCAAAAGATGAAGGAACTTTAACGAAATCAAAAATGGAAACTGAACGAATATCAAAAGGAAACTTGAACGAAAAACCTGATATTATAGAAAGTATAAACAGAGAAAGAGATATGTTGGAGACTGTAGAAAGTATGATGGATTTCAGAGATGATACAGAGATCAAAGAAAATGTCAGAGAGTCAAGCGATAAAACTGATGATAAGGGAGAAATGAAGGAAACAAATGAGAGTAAGGTCTTTCAGAAAGTAAGTGAGGAAAGAAATTGTAAAAGTTGGAATATAAAAGATGTAAATGAACAATGTGATCAGAGAGAAGGTTGTAGTGTGCAGGATGAGGGAAATGATGATTTGAAAGCAAGAAGTTTGCACAATGTATCTGTTCAGGGCTCTTTCCATCAAGCTGATCCTATGTTTGGTGACACTGCAGGAACCCAGTGTGTGGCAAATTGTTTGTCAGGTTTAGCTTATAATCTTCTGAAAAGTGCAGAAATGTGGCAAACAGCTGATATCAACAAAGTTTTAGTGAATGGAGATGAACTTTACACATACCTGCAGAACAGTTCTTCAATTACAAGTAGGTATTTGTTAGTAGAAGAATTACCACAGTATTTTGAATGCTATAACAACACATTTGACTTTACAGTGAAGGTTTCGGTACCAAGTTTCATTAGTTTATCAGAGGAGGAGCCATGTTATGAAGATTTTAATGCTTATCCTCTTTTTGAAGCTCTCCAGATGGCACTTGCTGAAACAAATGGGTGTTTTGTGTGTTTTGGGGGAAATACCCTTTTAATTGGAAAAACTACTGATGGCTTTTTCATATTTGATTCACATGCACGGTGCTCTCGTGGATATTTAAGTGTTAGAGGGAAGAGTACAAGAATTTTGTTAAAGGATGTTCAGGATGTTTACTTACATCTAAGGTTTCTGGCTCTCTCTATGGGATTTTCAAAAACTGTTGAATGTGAATTAACTGGAGTGCTGTGTTCACTGAAGCATTTTGCTATTGCAGAAGTTAACAAGGTTGAACATGTTAAAGGTGATGTAAAATTTTCAGAAGCATTCATAAGTTTAAGACAAGGTGTCATGATGTCAGATCAATCAAATGTTGAAGAAAATGAGAGATATGCAAGAGGATTGCAAGGTACAAAGCAAGACAGCTTATTGTCAGATCAGTTAGAGATGTTGCAGACAAATGAGGTGATATTTATGGACGAGGAAATAAAACAACACAATTTTATTCCTTTGTCTGTAGAGAAGAAGATGGAATTGAGCAAAGAGTTGGGATTGTCTTATTTTACTTCTAGATATGAAAATGATGCTGTGATTGTGAAAGGCATGGATATACCTAGCAAGTGTAAAGAAATCGAAGCAGATGGAAATTGTTTTTTCAGGGCAGTATCATTCAGTCTGACAAACTCTGAGAACTATCACCAACTTATACGAGAAGCTGTTTGTCAACACTTGTTGAAACATGAAACAAAATTTCAGCAGTTTATGAGATATGAGGGATCATTAAGGTCTTACTTGGTTTCCAGTAAAATGTCAGACGAGGGTGTATGGGCCACTGAATTGGAGATTCATGCAATGTCGCACATGTTGAATGTAGACATTTATACTTATTCAGACAGGAAATGGATTTGTTTTAGTGGGGAAGTGCCAAACCCTGAAGTAGATGAACAGAAGGAGTCTATTTATTTATACCATAAACAACAGAACCATTATGATGTTGTTTTATGTGTTTCAGCAAGTCTATCTGGAAAGGAATCGGTCATGCAAACAATGTCTTGCAAGAGAGAGTATAACTTGCGCAGAGGAAATCGACTTCGAATGAAAGAAAAGCGAGATACCTTTGTATCGAAAGGGCCATTGCATTCGAGTAGAATACGCAAAGACAAATTAAGGAAAAAGTACAAGGATAGTAAGCACTTCCGGAATAGAATTATCAAGCATAGGAGAGAAATGTATTCAGATGCAGACACAAAGTTTAAAATACAGATTAGGAACAGGGAACGATATCGTGCTTTAGATTTAGAACACCGAGAAGAAGTTCAAAGGGCAAGTAGAAGAAGAAGTAAACTGCAATACTACACTAACTTCAATCACAGAGAGGCAAAAAAGAGGAAAATTGTTGGGAGATACAAGTCTGATGTTAAGCACAGAGAACAGGTGAAAGAAAAAAACAAGGAGAAGTACAGAACAGACCTTGAATATCAGGGAAATTTGAGGAAAGCAAGTACTGAGAAGTATAAGACAGATCTGACTCATCGGAAAAATGTTAAGAAGGCCAGTACGGAAAAGTACAAAACAGATCTGAGACATCAGGAAAATGTAAAGAAGGCCAGTACGGAGAAGTACAAAACAAAACAGATCTACAAAACAGAGACATCAGGAAAATGTTAAGAAAAGAAGGCCAGTGAGACATCAGGAAAATGTTAAGAAGGGAGAGAAATACAAGACAGACTTAAAACACCAGCAAAAAGTAAAACAAAGAAGCACTGACAAGTATAAAATGGACTCGGAACACAAAACTAAAGTAAAACAGGGGGCCTTGAAAAAGTACAAAGAAGATGAAACCTACAGGATGAAAAATAAAGCAGCTCATGTTCAAAGATATAGTTCAAATGAAACTTTTAAAGCAAATATGCAAGAAAGAGCTGCAAGGAGGTATCAATCTGACATCAAAGTCCAATCAAAAGTAAAGAAACGTAGTAAGGATAGTTATTACTCATCTTCAGAAGCAATGAAGAAGAAAAAAGAGAAAGTTGCACAAAAGAGGAGGCTGAAGCAGATGAACTTGGAACAGGAAGAGGAAGTTATCAGATTGTTTAAGGAAAAAGCTAAGGAGGGTCCAGATTATGCTTGTACCTGCTGCCATAGGTTATTGTTTAAAAATCAAGTTCAAGCTTGTGAACATCAGATGTATGAGAAAAATGAATCTGCAAGAACTATTTCTGACATTTGTTTGGTACACAAGTATTTGCATGAATGTTCTGAATCTTGTCCAGAAGCATGTACCAAATCATCATTATGGATTTGTTACACTTGTCACAGGAAAATAATGAGTGGCAAAGCACCAGCTGAGGCTTCAGTGAACGGTTTGATTCTGGAAGATATTCCACCAGAACTGACTCGATTAAACAGTTTGGAACAGCATTTGATTGCGATTCACATACCATTTATGAAGGTCATGGCTCTTCCCCATGGTGGGCAAAAAAATGTTCATGGACCTGTGGTTTGTGTGCCTTCAGATATGAAAAAGACAATCAGTTTACCCAGAAAAGAAGATGAAAACTTATTGTTGCGTGTGAAATTAAAAAGGAAATTAAATTACAAAGGCTACTTTGAATATCAGTTTGTTAATACAAACCATGTCATGTCAGCCTTATCATACTTGAAAGAAAACAATCAGTGGTACAAGGATTTAAAAATAACATCATCCTTAACTGAAAGTTTGGAGACTCATGAAGAAATGTCAGATGTTGATACAACAGGTGAAATTAATGAAGAAATGGTTGCATTTGATACATGTTTACAGCCTGTTGATGTTGCACAGGAAGTTTTAGATCATTATTTCGATGACGTGTATAATATTGCACCAAGTGAAGGGAAGAATCCTGTTCGAATGTTACAAGAACCTGGCAACGAAGCGAAGGCATTTCCTTGTCATTTCCCAAGTGGTAGTTTCTCCTGGAATGAGGAAAGATCAGAAAAATTAACTCTCGAGAAATATTTCAATAATAGGTTAATGAATGCTGATGACAGGTTTGCAAAGGATACCAATTACATTTTTTTCAGCCAGTACATGTCTGAATTGAATCAAGTGATCGAAAAAACACAAATTTCACTTAGAAAATCACTATCAAAATGTACCAATGGAAAACCAGTTACGATACATATGCTGCAAGACCCGACTACTCTCTCCAGTTTGTTGAGAAATGATGATGCTTTAAGATTTATGCAGCCAATAAGAGGAACTCCTGCCTATTGGTCAAGTACTCAGAAGGACATTTTTGCCATGCTGCGACAATTAGGAATCCCAACTTGGTTTTGTTCGTTTTCTGCAGCGGAGTACAGATGGAATGATGCTGTTAAAGCTATATTGCAACAGCAGAATGATAACAGAGATCCCGATGAGATGGAGTGGTCAGAGAAAAATGAAGTTTTAAGATGCAATCCAGTCACAGTGGCTAGAATGTTTGAACACAGGTTTCAAATATTTCATAAGGAGGTCATTCTTTCCCCAGCAAAGCCAATAGGAAAAGTAATAGACTTTTTCCAAAGAGTTGAGTTTCAGCAGAGGGGATCCCCACATATGCATTGTTTATATTGGGTTGAAAATGCACCTAATATTGATTCTGATGGAGAAGAAGCTGTGTGCGACTTCATTGACAGATATGTGACATGTTCTGTTCCTGCAGATAGTGATGACCCAGAATTGAGAAAAAGTGTCTTAGAGGTACAACAGCACAGCAAGAAACATTCAAAGTCTTGTAAAAAGAAAGGCACAGAGTGTAGGTTTAATTTCCCAAGGCCCCCTTCTCAAAAGACTTTCATTACAAGTGCAAATGAAGAAGAAAACGCAGAGGAGTGGGAAAAAGAGACAAATGTAAACAAAGCTTTTGCAAAGGAGATATTACTTAGTGTTTGGGATAAGATACAGAATGATGGTGAAAGAATTCAAACAACACAAGAATTGTTTGATGATCTATCACTAACACAGGAGCTGTACGAAGATGCCTACAACATGTTATCCACAAAGAGATCAGTTGTACTCGAACGCTGCCCGAATGAGGTATGGACGAATCAATACAACAGATGTCTGTTGAAGTCCTGGGATGCTAATATGGACATACAGTTTGTGCTGGATCCTTTCAGTTGTATTGTTTATATAATTTCCTATATATCAAAGTCAGAAAGGGAAATGGGTATGTTACTCAAACAAACAAAGTTGGAGGCTGAGGAGGGAAATCACGATGCCAGACAAACGATGAAGAAAATTGGTTCAGCATACTTGCATCACAGAGAAGTAAGCGCACAAGAAGCTGTGTACAGAGTATGTAACTTGAAGATGAAAGAATGCTCTAGGAAAGTGTTGTTTGTGCCTGTAGGTGACAACCCGGTGCGCTTAAGTAAGCCACTATCAGTGCTTAAGAAGAAAGCATCAAAGGATGAAGAGATAAGTGTTGAGGAAGAAGATGAGGAGGATGAAGTTTGGATGACAAACATTATTGAACGTTACATGAACCGACCAGATAAAGCAATATTTCATGAAATGTGCCTCGCGGAATTTTGTTCAGAATTTAGAGTGCTTGCTAAATCACAAGTTCCGAAGAAGGAAAATGAAAATGTTTTTGAATTACAGAATGGAAAGGGTTTTGTGCAACGAAGAACAAGAACACAGCCTGCTGTTGTTAGGTATCCCAGGTTTAATGTTGAGAAAATGTCAGAAAAATATCATCAGTCTCTCTTGCAACTTTTTCTACCCTATTGGACAGAGGCACAGTTGAAACCACCAGGGTTTGAGTTATATGAGGATTTTTATGAGACTGGTTATGTGAAAATTCTGGGGAGAAAAAAGAAGGAATCAGTGAAGTCAATAGTGGATTTCAATCATTCACTTTATGCAAAGAATGAAGATGTTATTGACAATGCTCAGGAGGCATATGAGATGATAGGTGAACCAGAGGATGCATGGTCACGAATTTGTCCAGAAACAGAGGTTCTTCGAAGGGAGGGTATAGCACAGAGAAAGGAAACTACAGTGCCACAGGAGGAAAACATAAATATCATACCGGATATCGAAAGCGAGACACATAATGCAGATGTCATGTATCATGTTCACCAAAATGCAGCTTCAAGAGAGGAAATGCAATCTGTTCTTCAAACATTGAATGAAACACAGAGTGAAATTTTTTACTTGGTGCGCGACTGGTGTTTAGGAAAGATTGCAGGAGAAAAACCTGAACCACTACATTTATTTATTACTGGAGGTGCAGGAACTGGTAAAAGCCATCTCATAAAAGCCATTCATTATGAAGCATCACGTTTGCTTTCACGAATAATGACTGAACCAGATAGTGTATCAGTGCTTCTCGCAGCATTCACGGGAACAGCGGCTTTCAACATAGGCGGAAATACACTTCATCACCTATTTTCATTAACAAAGTATCTTCCCCTTCCTTATGAACCACTTGGAGAACAAAGTCTCAGTGAGTTGAGAGTTAGGATAGGAGATCTTCAGATCCTAATCATTGATGAGATATCAATGGTATACAAAAGGCTTCTCTACTACATACATGAAAGGCTGGTGCAGATTAAGAAGTGCAAAGAGCCATTTGGAGGGGTTTGTGTTATTGCTGTTGGGGACTTTTACCAGCTTCCTCCTGTTAAGCAGCGAAAAGACGAGAGACTTTACAAAGAAAATATGAGTTATCCAATGGACTTCTGGCTTGAGTTATTTAAAGTCATTGAATTGAAAGGGATAATGAGACAAAAAGAAGACTTGTCGTTTGCTGAGGTTCTTAATTCCCTTCGTGTAAGAGAGAGAGATCAACCGTTAACACATCAGCAAAGTGCTATGTTGGAAGATTGTATCAGAGAAGGTCCAGAAGATGTTCTTCATGTTTTTTCTACCAATGAAGAGGTTAACGCATTCAATTTGTCAATGCTAAAGAAATCTTGTGAAGATTTACTGGAAATTGAGGCCCAAGATTACAAAAAGGACAAAACATCGGGGAAACTGATACCAAAAAACAAACCTGTGACAAAATCTAAAAGTGATGGCCTCCCAAGTTCGCTCTTATTGTCTGTCCATGCAAGGGTTATGCTCACAAGAAATTGCAATGTGGAGGATGGACTTGTTAATGGATTAATGGGGCATATCTGTCAGTTTTCAATGGTTGAAAACAGTGATAGAGTTGTTAAAGCTATAGGAGTAATTTTTGATAATAAGGAAGTTGGGAAGAAGTCCGGACAGAAGACAATGGATGGAAACCTAGTGTTCATAGAAAGAGTACAAGAAGAGATGAAGGAAAAGGCCAGTACGGTGGTAAGACACCAATTTCCAATTAGGTTGTCTTGGGCATGTACGGCTCATAAAGTGCAAGGGATGACAACTGAGAAAGCTGTAGTGAATTTAGATAAAGTTTTTGCTCCAGGTCAAGCATACGTTGCATTGTCAAGGGTTACTTTTTACTTCAAAGATATCCACTGGCTTATTTATTGTAAAAGCACATTGTTCTATTAAAATGATACAGTTACTTGAAATAAGAAAACACAAAATTAGTATATATTTCACTTTTTCCGTTTACAGAGAAATGATCTATGCTGATCCAGAGTAAAAAGTAAAAGTCAGCATTAAGTGAAATGCCGAAGGTTAAACTTTTGATGACACTTCACAAGCCTTACTATCCACTGGGAAGAAAGTAATTCTGCATAACATACAGAGCTTGCGCAGTCATTTTGAAGACCTACAAAAAGATGCAAGGTTTAAAGAGGTTGATGTTATATGCTTAACAGAGACATGGATAGGATCTGGGGAAAATACGGAGAAATATGGACTGCAAGGGTTTCAGTTTCATCATCTGCCTAGAGAGGAAGCATATGAAGAAAGTGTTGTCTCAAAACAAAGTTTACGCATGTCAAAGGGTGGAGGAGTTGGGCTTTTCCGTTAGTAGCTATTCAAAAAGTACACATATAGTATTTCAACTTCAACAGTTCACTTAACTCTATAAGTGAATCATATTTTACATACTCGTTAACCTGCAACTGTACAACTGTAATACATATTTCTCTATGCATTCCCTCACTAAGAAGTTGATACATGTATACATAATCACAACCTCATCTAAGCCTCAAGAATGTGAAATCAGGTTCAGTAGCTCAGGTTGATCTGCTAACATTTTCTTGCATTCTTTTTCTTGAGTATTTGTATAACTTAATAATTGAAAATTTCTATACATCTCAATTTTTACAAACATTTTCAAAAGAGTCTATGTCAAACAATTATCTATGAATTAAGTTGCTAATGTTAAGGCAATACTATTTCATTGAAGTAAACTTTCTTTAATTATTGAGATATTGATAACGAAATTTGAGGCTAATCAAGAACTGTGTGACTTCGAAGACTTTGTAATTGATACTAGTAATCTAATGCTTTTTTCATTGTCTACAACTAATGGCAAAATACTACAAGATTTATTTTTTCAATGAAAAAGCTAAAATTTTTCTGTACAAAACATTCAGTAAATCGGTTATCGTCTGACACAAACGGCTGCCATAGGTGCATGAACAACATCTACTTTATTACATACTGTCTGGCTTCTAAAACACTGTGCTGCTTTAAAGATCTAAGAATTTAAGAAGAATAGCATCATGGTAACTGTAATATGTGGGTAATCGATGAACCTCAATCTGTCTTAAGTTCGGCACATAGACATGGTCCAGTGTTGTTCCACCTTCAGTGGTGCTAAAGGACACAAGTTGTCTGAAGTTTTGATCTCTCATAAACCTCTGAATTGGGCCATTAGCTCTAGCATCCTCATTGAAATCACCCATGATGATACAGTCATAGTCATTTGTTTTCAAGAAGCCCAGAACATTCTGAAGATTGTGTAGGAATGATGTTATTTTTTCCATGCAAGGCCGATATACACACAACAACAAAATATCTTCCTTGATTAGTTTTACTGCTATTCCTTCAATATTCATCTGGGCAATTAGAACAATATCATAATCCTCCCTATCTTTCAAGTACATCCCAACTCCTCCACCCTTTGACATGCGTAAACTTTGTTTTGAGACAATACTTTCTTCATATGCTTCCTCTCTAGGCAGATTATGAAACTGAAACCCTTGCAGTCCATATTTCTCCGTATTTTCCCCACATCCTATCCATGTCTCTGTTAAGCATATAACATCAACCTCTTTAAACCTTGCATCATTTTGTAGGTCTTCAAAATGACTGCGCAAGCTCTGTATGTTATGCAGAATTACTTTCTTCCCAGTGGATAGTAAGGCTTGTGAAGTGTTATCAAAAGTAACCTTCGGCATTTCATTTAATGCTGACTTTACCTCTGGATCAGCAAAGATATTTCTCTGTAAACGAGTTGAATCTTCTGTATCAATAAATAAGCCAGACTTTGAAGTAACCCTTGACAATGCAACGTATGCTTGACCTGCGCAGCTAGGTTAAGGCCGCCCATAGGAAATAAGGCTTAAAATATTCCGAAAAAATCAATATAATGTTGATATTTTTTTTATTAGCATGAGTTTTAATTTAATGGGAACTATACTAATGCATATGTATGTATAGGGTCTCAACCGAGTTCGGCCAACGCGACTTCAGGTACATCAGCTGTTTGTCACGTGACATGTTTAAAATAGAAATAAATATGAACGGATACAAAGATCGTAAAAGTTCAACGATATACGGATAATTTTTCACTATGAATTTGATTGTGTTTTCTTTAAGACAAATTTCTTAGCCCGAAAAGTGCTGGGAGTAACTTCTCCATGCCCGGGAATAATATAAAATTTAGCCGACTTTTGATGAACTATGTGCATTTACACTATACGCATTGAAGAAATGTAAAACTACGGAAAAAATCAACAGCGCACAACTTGCTCCCAGCACTTTTCAAAATAATAGGGACAGTAGCTACATGTATATAAAATATTATAATTTATAATCAAGTGGATATCGTTGAACTTTTTAGATTTTGGAGGGGTTGTACATGTGATTGTAGTACGTTTCTGTATAAAAGTGCATGACTGCGGCTTTATAAGAGATCTAATAGTTATCAATTAAATAGGACTGTGAACTATTGATTAATGCATTCAAAAATATGAATTAATTTAAATCAGATCACGCTTATTTAGATTTAATTTTCATATTTTTATTTCCACTAAAAGCTTTATCCGCGTCTCGAGTACAGAGAAACTGCGTGTCAAACTAGCCTATGACGTCATATCTGTTAGTACAGCGAGATCAAGTTGGCTTTGATTTTACATTCGAATCGTGTTATAATGACAAAATAAGTTACACATTGATAAATATTTACAATAATCATGAGAACTCAAAGTATGTAAGAGTATATGAAAAAGAAAATAATTGAGATTATTATTTATTCGCCGAGATTCAAAAACGTCATAATCGAATTCCCGAGGCTCTACATACACTGATCTACCTTTGGGTAGCCCTTAACCTAGTTGCGTGGAGCAAAAACTTTATCTAAATTCACTACAGCTTTCTCAGTTGTCATCCCTTGCACTTTATGAGCCGTACATGCCCAAGACAACCTAACTGGAAATTGGTGTCTTACCACCGTACTGGCCTTTTCCTTCATCTCTTCTTGTACTCTTTCTATGAACACTAGGTTTCCATCCATTGTCTTCTGTCCGGACTTCTTCCCAACTTCCTTATTATCAAAAATTACTCCTATAGCTTTAACAACTCTATCACTGTTTTCAACCATTGAAAACTGACAGATGTGCCCCATTACTCCATTAACAAGTCCATCCTCCACATTACAATTTCTTGTGAGCATAACCCTTGCATGGACAGACAATAAGAGCGAACTTGGGAGGCCATCACTTTTAGATTTTGTCACAGGTTTGTTTTTTGGTATCAGTTTCCCCGATGTTTTGTCCTTTTTGTAATCTTGGGCCTCAATTTCCAGTAAATCTTCACAAGATTTCTTTAGCATTGACAAATTGAATGCGTTAACCTCTTCATTGGTAGAAAAAACATGAAGAACATCTTCTGGACCTTCTCTGATACAATCTTCCAACATAGCACATTGCTGATGTGTTAACGGTTGATCTCTCTCTCTTACACGAAGGGAATTAAGAACCTCAGCAAACGACAAGTCTTCTTTTTGTCTCATTATCCCTTTCAATTCAATGACTTTAAATAACTCAAGCCAGAAGTCCATTGGATAACTCATATTTTCTTTGTAAAGTCTCTCGTCTTTTCGCTGCTTAACAGGAGGAAGCTGGTAAAAGTCCCCAACAGCAATAACACAAACCCCTCCAAATGGCTCTTTGCACTTCTTAATCTGCACCAGCCTTTCATGTATGTAGTAGAGAAGCCTTTTGTATACCATTGATATCTCATCAATGATTAGGATCTGAAGATCTCCTATCCTAACTCTCAACTCACTGAGACTTTGTTCTCCAAGTGGTTCATAAGGAAGGGGAAGATACTTTGTTAATGAAAATAGGTGATGAAGTGTATTTCCGCCTATGTTGAAAGCCGCTGTTCCCGTGAATGCTGCGAGAAGCACTGATACACTATCTGGTTCAGTCATTATTCGTGAAAGCAAACGTGATGCTTCATAATGAATGGCTTTTATGAGATGGCTTTTACCAGTTCCTGCACCTCCAGTAATAAATAAATGTAGTGGTTCAGGTTTTTCTCCTGCAATCTTTCCTAAACACCAGTCGCGCACCAAGTAAAAAATTTCACTCTGTGTTTCATTCAATGTTTGAAGAACAGATTGCATTTCCTCTCTTGAAGCTGCATTTTGGTGAACATGATACATGACATCTGCATTATGTGTCTCGCTTTCGATATCCGGTATGATATTTATGTTTTCCTCCTGTGGCACTGTAGTTTCCTTTCTCTGTGCTATACCCTCCCTTCGAAGAACCTCTGTTTCTGGACAAATTCGTGACCATGCATCCTCTGGTTCACCTATCATCTCATATGCCTCCTGAGCATTGTCAATAACATCTTCATTCTTTGCATAAAGTGAATGATTGAAATCCACTATTGACTTCACTGATTCCTTCTTTTTTCTCCCCAGAATTTTCACATAACCAGTCTCATAAAAATCCTCATATAACTCAAACCCTGGTGGTTTCAACTGTGCCTCTGTCCAATAGGGTAGAAAAAGTTGCAAGAGAGACTGATGATATTTTTCTGACATTTTCTCAACATTAAACCTGGGATACCTAACAACAGCAGGCTGTGTTCTTGTTCTTCGTTGCACAAAACCCTTTCCATTCTGTAATTCAAAAACATTTTCATTTTCCTTCTTCGGAACTTGTGATTTAGCAAGCACTCTAAATTCTGAACAAAATTCCGCGAGGCACATTTCATGAAATATTGCTTTATCTGGTCGGTTCATGTAACGTTCAATAATGTTTGTCATCCAAACTTCATCCTCCTCATCTTCTTCCTCAACACTTATCTCTTCATCCTTTGATGCTTTCTTCTTAAGCACTGATAGTGGCTTACTTAAGCGCACCGGGTTGTCACCTACAGGCACAAACAACACTTTCCTAGAGCATTCTTTCATCTTCAAGTTACATACTCTGTACACAGCTTCTTGTGCGCTTACTTCTCTGTGATGCAAGTATGCTGAACCAATTTTCTTCATCGTTTGTCTGGCATCGTGATTTCCCTCCTCAGCCTCCAACTTTGTTTGTTTGAGTAACATACCCATTTCCCTTTCTGACTTTGATATATAGGAAATTATATAAACAATACAACTGAAAGGATCCAGCACAAACTGTATGTCCATATTAGCATCCCAGGACTTCAACAGACATCTGTTGTATTGATTCGTCCATACCTCATTCGGGCAGCGTTCGAGTACAACTGATCTCTTTGTAGATAACATGTTGTAGGCATCTTCGTACAGCTCCTGTGTAAGTGATAGATCATCAAACAATTCTTGTGTTGTTTGAATTCTTTCACCATCATTCTGTATCTTATCCCAAACACTAAGTAATATCTCCTTTGCAAAAGCTTTGTTTACATTTGTCTCTTTTTCCCACTCCTCTGCGTTTTCTTCTTCATTTGCACTTGTAATGAAAGTCTTTTGAGAAGGGGGCCTTGGGAAATTAAACCTACACTCTGTGCCTTTCTTTTTACAAGACTTTGAATGTTTCTTGCTGTGCTGTTGTACCTCTAAGACACTTTTTCTCAATTCTGGGTCATCACTATCTGCAGGAACAGAACATGTCACATATCTGTCAATGAAGTCGCACACAGCTTCTTCTCCATCAGAATCAATATTAGGTGCATTTTCAACCCAATATAAACAATGCATATGTGGGGATCCCCTCTGCTGAAACTCAACTCTTTGGAAAAAGTCTATTACTTTTCCTATTGGCTTTGCTGGGGAAAGAATGACCTCCTTATGAAATATTTGAAACCTGTGTTCAAACATTCTAGCCACTGTGACTGGATTGCATCTTAAAACTTCATTTTTCTCTGACCACTCCATCTCATCGGGATCTCTGTTATCATTCTGCTGTTGCAATATAGCTTTTAACAGCATCATTCCATCTGTACTCCGCTGCAGAAAACGAACAAAACCAAGTTGGGATTCCTAATTGTCGCAGCATGGCAAAAATGTCCTTCTGAGTACTTGACCAATAGGCAGGAGTTCCTCTTATTGGCTGCATAAATCTTAAAGCATCATCATTTCTCAACAAACTGGAGAGAGTAGTCGGGTCTTGCAGCATATGTATCGTAACTGGTTTTCCATTGGTACATTTTGATAGTGATTTTCTAAGTGAAATTTGTGTTTTTTCGATCACTTGATTCAATTCAGACATGTACTGGCTGAAAAAAATGTAATTGGTATCCTTTGCAAACCTGTCATCAGCATTCATTAACCTATTATTGAAATATTTCGAGAGAGTTAATTTTTCTGATCTTTCCTCATTCCAGGAGAAACTACCACTTGGGAAATGACAAGGAAATGCCTTCGCTTCGTTGCCAGGTTCTTGTAACATTCGAACAGGATTCTTCCCTTCACTTGGTGCAATATTATACACGTCATCGAAATAATGATCTAAAACTTCCTGTGCAACATCAACAGGCTGTAAACATGTATCAAATGCAACCATTTCTTCATTAATTTCACCTGTTGTATCAACATCTGACATTTCTTCATGAGTCTCCAAACTTTCAGTTAAGGATGATGTTATTTTTAAATCCTTGTACCACTGATTGTTTTCTTTCAAGTATGATAAGGCTGACATGACATGGTTTGTATTAACAAACTGATATTCAAAGTAGCCTTTGTAATTTAATTTCCTTTTCAATTTCACACGCAACAATAAGTTTTCATCTTCTTTTCTGGGTAAACTGATTGTCTTTTTCATATCTGAAGGCACACAAACCACAGGTCCATGAACATTTTTTTGCCCACCATGGGGAAGAGCCATGACCTTCATAAATGGTATGTGAATCGCAATCAAATGCTGTTCCAAACTGTTTAATCGAGTCAGTTCTGGTGGAATATCTTCCAGAATCAAACCGTTCACTGAAGCCTCAGCTGGTGCTTTGCCACTCATTATTTTCCTGTGACAAGTGTAACAAATCCATAATGATGATTTGGTACATGCTTCTGGACAAGATTCAGAACATTCATGCAAATACTTGTGTACCAAACAAATGTCAGAAATAGTTCTTGCAGATTCATTTTTCTCATACATCTGATGTTCACAAGCTTGAACTTGATTTTTAAACAATAACCTATGGCAGCAGGTACAAGCATAATCTGGACCCTCCTTAGCTTTTTCCTTAAACAATCTGATAACTTCCTCTTCCTGTTCCAAGTTCATCTGCTTCAGCCTCCTCTTTTGTGCAACTTTCTCTTTTTTCTTCTTCATTGCTTCTGAAGATGAGTAATAACTATCCTTACTACGTTTCTTTACTTTTGATTGGACTTTGATGTCAGATTGATACCTCCTTGCAGCTCTTTCTTGCATATTTGCTTTAAAAGTTTCATTTGAACTATATCTTTGAACATGAGCTGCTTTATTTTTCATCCTGTAGGTTTCATCTTCTTTGTACTTTTTCAAGGCCCCCTGTTTTACTTTAGTTTTGTGTTCCAAGTCCATTTTATACTTGTCAGTGCTTCTTTGTTTTACTTTTTGCTGGTGTTTTAAGTCTGTCTTGTATTTCTCCGTACTGGCCTTCTTAACATTTTCCTGATGTCTCAGATCTGTTTTGTACTTCTCCGTACTGGCCTTCTTTACATTTTCCTGATGTCTCAGATCTGTTTTGTACTTTTCCGTACTGGCCTTCTTAACATTTTTCCGATGAGTCAGATCTGTCTTATACTTCTCAGTACTTGCTTTCCTCAAATTTCCCTGATATTCAAGGTCTGTTCTGTACTTCTCCTTGTTTTTTTCTTTCACCTGTTCTCTGTGCTTAACATCAGACTTGTATCTCCCAACAATTTTCCTCTTTTTTTCCTCTCTGTGATTGAAGTTAGTGTAGTATTGCAGTTTACTTCTTCTTCTACTTGCCCTTTGAACTTCTTCTCGGTGTTCTAAATCTAAAGCACGATATCGTTCCCTGTTCCTAATCTGTATTTTAAACTTTGTGTCTGCATCTGAATACATTTCTCTCCTATGCTTGATAATTCTATTCCGGAAGTGCTTACTATCCTTGTACTTTTTCCTTAATTTGTCTTTGCGTATTCTACTCGAATGCAATGGCCCTTTCGATACAAAGGTATCTCGCTTTTCTTTCATTCGAAGTCGATTTCCTCTGCGCAAGTTATACTCTCTCTTGCAAGACATTGTTTGCATGACCGATTCCTTTCCAGATAGACTTGCTGAAACACATAAAACAACATCATAATGGTTCTGTTGTTTATGGTATAAATAAATAGACTCCTTCTGTTCATCTACTTCAGGGTTTGGCACTTCCCCACTAAAACAAATCCATTTCCTGTCTGAATAAGTATAAATGTCTACATTCAACATGTGCGACATTGCATGAATCTCCAATTCAGTGGCCCATACACCCTCGTCTGACATTTTACTGGAAACCAAGTAAGACCTTAATGATCCCTCATATCTCATAAACTGCTGAAATTTTGTTTCATGTTTCAACAAGTGTTGACAAACAGCTTCTCGTATAAGTTGGTGATAGTTCTCAGAGTTTGTCAGACTGAATGATACTGCCCTGAAAAAACAATTTCCATCTGCTTCGATTTCTTTACACTTGCTAGGTATATCCATGCCTTTCACAATCACAGCATCATTTTCATATCTAGAAGTAAAATAAGACAATCCCAACTCTTTGCTCAATTCCATCTTCTTCTCTACAGACAAAGGAATAAAATTGTGTTGTTTTATTTCCTCGTCCATAAATATCACCTCATTTGTCTGCAACATCTCTAACTGATCTGACAATAAGCTGTCTTGCTTTGTACCTTGCAATCCTCTTGCATATCTCTCATTTTCTTCAACATTTGATTGATCTGACATCATGACACCTTGTCTTAAACTTATGAATGCTTCTGAAAATTTTACATCACCTTTAACATGTTCAACCTTGTTAACTTCTGCAATAGCAAAATGCTTCAGTGAACACAGCACTCCAGTTAATTCACATTCAACAGTTTTTGAAAATCCCATAGAGAGAGCCAGAGACCTTAGATGTAAGTAAACATCCTGAACATCCTTTAACAAAATTCTTGTACTCTTCCCTCTAACACTTAAATATCCACGAGAGCACCGTGCATGTGAATCAAATATGAAAAAGCCATCAGTAGTTTTTCCAATTAAAAGGGTATTTCCCCCAAAACACACAAAACACCCATTTGTTTCAGCAAGTGCCATCTGGAGAGCTTCAAAAAGAGGATAAGCATTAAAATCTTCATAACATGGCTCCTCCTCTGATAAACTAATGAAACTTGGTACCGAAACCTTCACTGTAAAGTCAAATGTGTTGTTATAGCATTCAAAATACTGTGGTAATTCTTCTACTAACAAATACCTACTTGTAATTGAAGAACTGTTCTGCAGGTATGTGTAAAGTTCATCTCCATTCACTAAAACTTTGTTGATATCAGCCGTTTGCCACATTTCTGCACTTTTCAGAAGATTATAAGCTAAACCTGACAAACAATTTGCCACACACTGGGTTCCTGCAGTGTCACCAAACATAGGATCAGCTTGATGGAAAGAGCCCTGAACAGATACATTGTGCAAACTTCTTGCTTTCAAATCATCATTTCCCTCATCCTGCACACTACAACCTTCTCTCTGATCACATTGTTCATTTACATCTTTTATATTCCAACTTTTACAATTTCTTTCCTCACTTACTTTCTGAAAGACCTTACTCTCATTTGTTTCCTTCATTTCTCCCTTATCATCAGTTTTATCGCTTGACTCTCTGACATTTTCTTTGATCTCTGTATCATCTCTGAAATCCATCATACTTTCTACAGTCTCCAACATATCTCTTTCTCTGTTTATACTTTCTATAATATCAGGTTTTTCGTTCAAGTTTCCTTTTGATATTCGTTCAGTTTCCATTTTTGATTTCGTTAAAGTTCCTTCATCTTTTGATATTCTACTGGTCTCCTCCATCCTGGAGGTATCCAGCTGCGCCTGTCCTGCTGGATCAGACATATGCACTATGTCCGATCCAGGTGCCCTCGGTGGAGCACAAACCCACGGTGGGGAGTCAGTGGACGGTGCCTTGCCCTCGTCATGGACAAACAGACGACTTCCCCGAGGAGGTGACAACCTCGGGGCAGGTGAATGCATTTTCACTCGAGGTGAGGCCTGCACCCTGGCCAGGGGTTTTTCCTCTTTAGGTGGAAACCCCATCGAACCAAGCCCCGGAAAATTACCGGGAGGAGCTGAATCAGCTCCATCCACTGTCCCACAGGGAACAGCAGACTGTTGTGGCGGCAAAGCTGATACTTCATCAGGCAGAATCCTTGCAGACTTTTGTCTCTGCTCTCTTTTTCTTATTTTGTCTTGCAGCATTCGCTGTCTCGTAGACATTTTCTTTCTCTTTGCCATCTGAAAAAACATTAATAATATACCATAGATTACTACAACTGCCCTAAAGAAAATTTTTTTCTCATATTTAAAGTAAAACAGGCTGTTTGAAAGCAACAAACCGCTAAAATGATTTGAAACACATGAAAAGTAATAATACTTTCCACAATATTTTACTGTAGAAGTCATTGTAATAACTAAACAATAAAGCAACATCTGCAATTCAGACAAATTTTGTTGCATTTTTACAACGCTGATTAATAAAAGGTCGATATGCGTCTTTACAAAATAGATAGTTGATAAAGATCATATTAAAAGATAAGTATCATTTAGAGTTAGACGCTTGCCATCCACGTCAACAGTGACTTGTATCTCTAACAGCCTACCTGGTTTTCTTAACGCTATGTTTGTTTATCGATCTAAAAGTATCAGCGATGTTTTTTATTTTGATTTTTGGGCGTATTTTTATGTAAGAATTTGGTTCAAAGTTTATTTAAAAATAGCAATTCTCACCTAGCAGGGTTATAGATAATTATAATTTGTTAACTTTATACACATTTAATTTACATGGTGTAACTAACAGTAATTTCGTACCTTTTATTGATAAACAAAATATATATATATATATTTCCAATCTTATTTAAACTGGCGCAAGTTATAGCATGATAGCTTTTAAGGGAAATATTTATTTATTTAATCTGTAAAAAAAAAATACACTTTTGATGTATTCATTTAAAAAATATCTTGACCTTGATTAATCACTAGTACATATAATGAACATCAAAGAAACTAGAGGTACTGTGATACCAGCATCCCATAATGTAAATGTGTTGCTATATATTGTTTTACGGTAATATGTGAAGAGGAGTAACTCGTCTTATCAAAGGTTATCCAGAAGCTTCTATATGTGATGTCATAGGTAAACATATAATGGCAAAGTACATGTTTTGCTATGGGAAACCCAAAATGCGTGTCGAATAAAAACGATAAATAGGAGGTGCACAATGGCAAAATGAAACAAAGATTCCGTGAAAGTTTCACTAAATTTCACTCAGTAGTATAGGAGGAGTTGCTGATAAGAGATAAAGTGTGACAGGTGCACAGACGGATTGAAAGACAGATGTAATCCCGATTACTATATACCCTTCCACTTTTCAAGCAGGGGGTATTAAAATGGTGACACATCTAGTACTAAGTATAATTAGTTTGTTCTGCTTTTAATAAGAAAGTCGCCTTTCATTCATTTTATTTTGATTAAAAAAAACATACAAGCGAAATGCTTATTAAAGAAAAACATTCTGAAAAAACTTTCAAAATAAAATTTTAACGTTTCTTAACACATGATCATGCACGATTAAAACCGAAAACCATTGAATCTATTACATGCACGATCTTGCCAATACACGAACAAATTAATCTACACGATTGGTTTGTCAACAATAAAGTTTAAGCCGCTGTATGTAACACTTTGGTTGGCCATTGTGGCCTTGCCCTATCCCTGGGTGTAATGATTTGAACAAATTTGAATCTACACTACTTGAGCATGCTTCCATATACATTGTAAATATGATGAATTATGGCTTTGTCATTCTTGAGAAGAAGATTGTTAAAGAATTTTCCTATATATTTCTATTTTAAACTTTGGTCGGCCATTTTGGCCCCGCCTTCCCCCGGGGGACATGATTTGAACAAATTTGAATATTCACTACTTGAGCATGCTTCCATATATATATGATGAATTATGACTTTGTAATTCTTGAAAAGAAGATTTTTAAAGAATTTTCCTATATATTTCTATGTAAAACTTTGGTTGGCCATTTTGGCCCCACCCTACCCCGGGGGGTCATGATTTAAACAAACTTGAATCTACACTATCTGAACATGCTTCCATATAAATATGATGAATTATAACTTTGTCAATCTTGAGAAGAAGATATTTAAAGAATTTTCCTATATATTACTATGTTAAACTTTGGTCGGCCATTTTGGCCCCGCCCTACCCCCGAGGGACATGATTTGAACAAACTTGAATCTACACTACCTGAACATGCTCCCACATAAATATGATGAATTATGGCTTTGTCATTCTTGAGAAGATTTTTAAAGAATTTTCCTATATATTTCTTTGTAAAACTTTGGTCGGCCATTTTGGCCCCGCCCTACCCCGGGGGTCATGATTTGAACAAACTTGAATCTACACTACCTGAACATGCTTCCATATAAATATGATGATTTATGGTTTTGTCATTCTTGAGAAGAAGATTTTTAAAGAATATTCCTATATATTTCTATGTTAAACTTTGGTCGGCCATTTTGGCCCCGCCCTACCCCTGGGGGTCATGATTTGAACAAACCTGAATCTGCACTACTTGAGGATGTTTCCCCATAAGTTTCATTTTTCCTGGCACAGTTGTTCTTGAGAAGAAGATTTTTATTAAAATATGCCACCAAATTTTCATTAATTCCCAATTATTTCCCCTTGAATGAGGGCGTGGCCCTTTATTAGAACAAACTTGAATCCCCTTCACCCAAGGACACTTTCTACCAAGTTTGGTTGAAATTCGCCCAGCGGTTCTTGAGAAGAAGTTGAAAATGTGAACAGTTTACAGACAGACAGACAGACGGACGCCGGACAAAATGTGATCAGAAAAGCTCACTTGAGCCTTCGGCTCAGGTGACCTAACAAACATATTTTTCATTTTGCCTTTGGTTCTAGGAATTTGATTTCATGGATCAAGAATATTAAAACAAGATCTTATTTATGTAACATTTAAAATCTTGTGGTGGACATGTATTCATAACTCTTGTCACACCTCGAAAACAAAAATAACCAGAAGTCTTTGTCGAGACTGAAGCTCTACTGGTTTGAACTTATAGCAAAGGAAGAGAAGGTCCTTAAGCAGCTGGGATTTGAAACTTTATAAACAGCATTAAATAGAATAATGATCGTTGATAAAGTTTCTTTATGTTCTTAGTGTAGTCTACTTGTGTGCCAAGTTATACTAAAATCAGACCGAAACTGTAGGAGGAGTAGCATTTTGAAACAATTTTACAGACATTTCTATTTTAGTAACCATGGCAACACCGTTCATCAAAATTAAAATTCAATATACAGAAATATGTATCTTAGTGTAGTCTACTTGTGTGCTAAGTTATACTGAAATCAGACCAAAACTGTAAGAGTAGTAGCATTTTGAAACAATTTTACAGACATTTCTAATTTTAGTAACCACGGCAACACCGTTCATCGAAATCAAAAACAAATACAAAGAATTATTTAACTTAGTGTATTCTACTTGTGTGCCAAGTTATACTGAAATCAGACCAAAACTGTAGGAGGAGTAGCATTTTGAAAGAATTTCACAGAAATTTCTATTTTTATTAACCACGGCAACACGGTTCATCGAAATCAAAAACTGACACAGAATTATGTATCTTATTGTAGTCTACGGACGCCGGACACATTTCTATCGCTTAAGCTCTTCTGGTCTCTGACCAGTAGAGCTAAAAATAAAATCACTACAAAAATTTTGTTGTTTCACAGTATGCAGCTACTTATGGCTACATAGATATTCAAAACCTACCCAAAGTAGATAACTTTACTTACTCTTTTGTTTTACATAAACTTGTGGGAAAATCAAGAACAGCGCAATTTTATGAGCAGCAAATTTAATTTTGCAATCATACTAAGGATAAATGCAAAACAAGAGGCCCATGGGCCACATCGCATACCTGAGTAACTTGGGTGATGCAGTTCTTAACAGATTCCCCCTCCTGCTATACCTATCATGCACCACTACCCCCTTCCTTTTTATGATTATCTACACTTCCCATGCTCCCATATGACTTTCAGCTTTCCTGGTCCATTGGTTCTTGAGAAAAAATTTTTCAAAGATTTGTTCTATATATTTCTATGTAAAACTTGCATTCCCTATTGTGGCCCCACCATACCCCCGAGGGTCATGATTGTAACAATTTAATATCTGCACTATTCAAGGATGCTTCCAAATAAGTGTCAGCTTTCCTTGCCTGGTGGTTCTTGAGAAAAAAATTTTCAAAGATTTGTTCTATATATTTCTATGTAAAACTTGCATTCCCTATTGCAGCCATGCCCTACCCCTGGGGGTCATGATTTTAACAATTTAATATCTACACTATTCAAGGATGCTTCCAAATAAGTGTCAGCTTTCCTTGCCTGGTGGTTCTTGAGAAGAAGATTTTTAAAGATTTGTTCTATATATTTCTATGTAAAACTTGCATTCCCTATTGTGGCCCCGCCCTACCCTGGGGGTCATGATTTTAACAATTTAATATCTGCACTATTCAAGGATGATTCCAAATAAGTTTCAGCTTTCCTTGCCTGGTGGTTCTTGAGAAAAAGATTTTTAGGATTTGTTCTATATATGTCTATGTAAAACTTGTATTCCCTATTGTGGCCCCGCCCTACCCCTGGGGGTCATGATTTTAACAATTTAATATCTAAACTATTCAAGGATGATTCCACGTAAATTTCAGCTTTCCTGGCCTAGTGGATTTTTAAAGACTTGTTCTATATATTTCTATGTAAAACTTTGATTCCCTCTTGTTGCCCTGCCCTACCCCTGGGGGTCATGATTTTAATAATTTAATATCTACACTACCAAAGAATGCTTCCAAATAAGTTTCAGCTTTCCTTGCCCAGTGGTTCTTGAGAAAAAGATTTTTAGGATTTGTTCTATATATGTCTATTTAAAACTTGTATTCCCTATTGTGGCCCCGCCCTACCCCTGGGGGTCATGATTTTAACAATTTAATATCTAAACTATTCAAGGATGATTTCACGTAAATTTCAGCTTTTCTGGCCCAGTGGTTCTTGAGGAGAAGATTTTTAAAGATTTGTTCCAAATATTCCTATGTAAAACTTGGATTCCCTCTTGTGGCCCAACCCTACCTCCAGGGGTCATGATTTTAACAATTTAATATCTACACTACCCAAGGATGCTTCCATAAAAGTTTCAGCTTTCCTGGCCCAGTAGTTCTTG